TGGCCGTTTGCTGTTTTATGGGTTTTTCCCATTTGCCTTTTAAAATTATATATATATATACACATGTTTAAACTTTATTTCATCTGCAACCAACAAAGAACAGAATTTTCCAGGTTGAGAAAGTGTGAAATTACAACAATATACAGTAGAAACATAGAATGAGTTTTTACAATCATTATGGTAAAGAAACATTAATAAAACGAAAAAAGTTAATAACGGAGGAGACCACAAGTTCAAAGCCATCTTGTCATCTTTCAAATAAATTATTTTCTTTGGACAGCAACTAATCTGCTTTTTTAATAGAGAAAACTCTGTAATATTGTGTTAGTCTTAGTAATTATTATGTATTAATTAATATAATTTATGGTATTATTTGTTTTTTATTTTTTGAGAATTTTGTTTTTGCAGATTATTTTCAGCCCAAAGCATGGGACATGAAAGGGCTTAGCCACCAAGCTGCTTGAGAATTTGATGTCAACTCCAACAATGACACATCAAATTAAATGAAAGATCAATCTAAAATTTGTATAAGTTGACTTACAGCAACTCTCTGCTTCTCTCCGCCACTAAGAACGTCCATCCAGTCTTGAACAGCATTCCATCCCCCTTCACGCTCCAAGATGTTTGCCAACTGAACCTGGAAATCAACACAGTAGTAGCAGTAGTTGTAGTTTACACATAAAACATAATCAATGAAGTGCAAGTTCAAAAAGTAAATTCTGGGCAGTGTGGATGAGGAGTTGTTGATGTGGAACAATATCTCTGCCTCCAGGGGTCCCAAGCTGGAAGAATCTATTTTTAGGAAAACTGATTGAACAAGATTGTTTAACCCATCTAATTATATTTTGCAGTGCTTGGAGACACCCAACTGACTTCAGCAAACAATTGTCAATGCAGTAGAAAAAACAAAAACCGAAAGGTCCACTGAAGCAATCTAAATACCTTGCTCAAGGACACAAGCAAAATGCAGTGAAATATTGGAAACCCCCTCCCACCCCCACCTCAAGGTTCATGAACCAAACCATTTGTGCTGCACCAAATCTTTTCTACAACTTGCGGGACATGGGTTAGTTTCCTGGAGATTTTTTTCTAGCCCGTGGGAGCACATGAGGTTGTCCCAATTTCAGGAAGCTTCTATGACTTGTGAGAAACTTGGGACCATGGTCTTTAAACAAGGTAAGAAATACCAATATCTGGCAAAGCTCGTTCAAGTGATGAAGGGTAGATGTTGTATTTTATAGGGATCATAGATCATAAACTGATATTGATGTAATAAACTACCTTTTCCATTGATTCTGCAAGTTGTTCATCAGTCACTCCTCTTCTGACCATATCTTCTTTTGTGTCTGGATAAATTATCTGATCTCGTAGAGTTCCAAGGGTCATGTAAGGCCTCTAGAATATGAAAATAAAAAATGAACACCTTATTTTAAATGTTTCAGAATAATTTCATCTGGATGTAACATTGCCAGTCTACTTGAGAAAGCGAACGGATCATTTGCAAAATGTAGTGCGAGTAAAATCATATCGTTTTTTTTCTATTGGATCAACAAAAAAGAAAAGTCTATGATAATTTTTTTTTAAATAGTTAATTCATAAAAATAATACTACATGGTTTCTGTGTAGAATGGAAAATGAAGAAAAAATTAATGAATATCTAACAAGAGTCAAATAGGCATGTTTGAACAAACATTGTCCAATTAAGTAATTCAACTTTCAACAGACATGCAAAGACACAATTTGTTTGATCAAATGTCTGAAACAAACATGTACTATCAGATAAGTTTGATAAAATATCATTGGCTAAATACTCAAAATGAAAAGAAATGTTTCAATTTAAATTCCATTTTATTTAAAAATTATATTTTACAAAATATAGAAAATCCAAACCTGAGGTACATAGAATAATTTACAAGCTTCTGGTTTGGTCATTGTACCACCAAACAAAGGCCACAGCTAAATGAGAGTAAGAAAAAACAACATGCTGTAAATGTCTGCAATAAAGTATAAGACATAACGATAGATACTTTACAGTAATAAATACATTTGGCATATGCTACTATTGTTAAATTGTTATCTTTCTCCCATGCCTCTTACCTCTCCTAGGATTCTGAAGAGGGAGCTTTTGCCACACCCATTCGGCCCGCACACAAGCACATTCATACCTCTCGTGACCTCAAAGGTCATTGCTTTTACTAGTACGTCACCATTAGGTGTCACCAAAGGTACATTATCAAATCTGTAAGGTCAGGTCATGGACATAAAATCAATGAGATATAAAAATGCATTTTATATTATCCAGGGATGTTTTACTTCATCCGTGGGAGTTTTTAGCTCCGATGTGGAGCTCTAGAAACACTCGGCTGATTGGTTAACAGATCTTTTTTGTATGGGCAGCCTTTAGGGCCAATATACACTACTGCCTCTATTACACTGCTCTCATCGAAGCTTTCGAGATTACAAAAACTTGTTTTACCTTATAATATCATCCTTGAATATAACCTTTCCACTTCCTGCTACTAATGGTTCACTGTCCTCTTCACTATCAGAGTCTGATACAGAAAGATGCAGAAAATGAGTAATGCAAATTGAGTTGATAAAATTAAACAGATAGAATCATACATTACTAAATGATGCACAATAAACAATATATGATAATAAATGACAAAGAAATATAGATGTAGAAATATTGAAAGAATATAGGCAAATAGAGGAAAAAAATTAATTGATAGAATCTCTAAGGGTGTAGTTTTACCGAAGTATTTAAAACCCTTTATATACGACTACCCTTAGCTTAAGCCCTGTCCAGCTTATCAAATTTTATAATTGTGACATGCCTAAATATGCTCACGATGACATCACATCAACACCATATATAGGCACATCATGACTATATATGGGCACATGATGAGTATATATGGGCATATCATGACTATATATGGGCACATCATGAATATATATGGATACATCATGACTATATATGGGCACATGATGAGTATATATGGGCATATCATGACTATATATGGGCACATGATGACTATAATGGGCACATGATGAGTATATATATGGGCATATCATGACTATATATGGGTACATCATGACTATATATGGGCATATCATGACTATATATGGGCACCATCATGACTATATATGGGCATATCATGACTATATATGGGCATACAACAGTTTTTGTCAAATAAAATTTTATAGTGCGGACAGAGTTTAGGATGGTCAATAATTGGAAAAATAATACTAAAAATTAAATATTTAATATTTATTTTAATATTTAATATTTCATGAATGAATGTATATTCACCTTTATTTGTGTTTGATACCATTGTCCTTTCGTAACGTCCAGTATTCAAGTCCTTAAGGACAGTAATCAGCTCTGTTACCCTTGCTGTAAACCTGTTGCATTATGGATAATAAGTAATATGGTCAACATCAATGATAGTTTATCAGCATGTAAACAATCTCAAATTTAAAATTGAATTCTAAAACATTTTGCATTTAAATTAATTACATATTAATAATTCCTAAATTATGATATTGAAGGTCCATATGTATATTGTAATGAGGGACTTTTAATCAACTGTTGCAGTGTCATGTAGAGGTCAATGAAATCCCAATGAACCAACTGTTTTTACAACACAGCAATGTCCACTAACATGACCTGACATGAAAGCATCCAGACAGTTCAGGCTAAGATAACACAGCAATATCCACTAACATGACCTGACCTGACAGCATTCAGACAGTTCTGGTTGAGATAATAGGGACGGCGGTATGACGTAGAACGTAATGACGTCACTAAAAGTCATCTGCGCATGCGAGAACATTAAGGTCACCTCGTCGAGTAGATTCTGGAACGCAATTTGGCCAAATCTATGTATGCAGAGAACGTTGGACATAGGATTCCGTCCTAGTGTCGCGTCATCACACAAATAGAAAGCTCCCTAGAAGGAAGCTTTCGACTTGCGCGACGTGATGATAGAACGAATTCATGGCGGTCCTACATTCTCTGCACAACGTATATTTGGCTAAATTGCCTCCTCGAATTTATTCGACGACAACTAAACATTCTTGCAAGCGCAGATGACTTTATGTGATGTCTTTACGTTCTACCTGGTTCTACATCCTAACCTCATTGTGCAATCGAAAGCTTCCTATTAATAGAAAATCTCGTGCTTATAAATACACGCAACCCCTTGCATTGGGGTGGGGAGTTACAGAAGTCATTGAATAGATTACAAAGGTTCAACACTATGCAAATCTAATAGCATTAAAAAAATGTACATCAAGCTAAAATGCAAATTATCCAAACCACTCTAGCAAAAACAGGCTCTTGTTTAAAAAAATAAGAACATTTATGAATTATTAGATCTTTATATTCTAGGTTAAAAGCTAATAATTGAAGCAAAAATTGTTAAAATCCCATAAAAAATGGCAAAAATATAATTTATATTTTCGGTCACATGCTTTAAGATGGTCAATACACGGACATTTTAGTCGATTTGAAGACTTTCATTTTTGATGACAAGCACCTGGTTTTGTACATTTATTATATATATGAGATAACAAAATTTGTTATGGTTTAATAATATACAGCAATGCAATGAAAATTAAATAAAATAGAGCAATATGAAAATGTTTAGCAACTAATACAGATAGTCTAATGCAAGAATTATAGCAGATTACACAGCACAAAGGCAATGTGATACAAAGGCGATGCAATACAATAAGAGCGTACACAGTACAAAGGCAATGTGAGGCATAGAGAGAGAGAGCAGAACCCGCGCAAAAGACAATGCATGTATGAAAGCAACTTTACACTTTATATAGTATAAAGGCAATGCTAAGCTGCTAAAATGAGTTTCTTGATAGAGATAGTATGTGGCTTAATGTGTTCAATGTAGCAGTTGGTGTATGTGTGTATGTAGTGGGAGGTATAATAAAGTACAGAGGTTCATTAAGTTTTCACATTCTTGTCAAATCAAACAGGAACAATCGGTGCATGTATTTTTGTCTATTACTTTATTCTATCATTATATTTAAAAAAAACATAACTGTAAAATTGTTCAATTCCCATCGCTGCCTCTCTTCATGTTTCAGCTAGAGGGCTGAAATACAAGTCATAATAGCGCACCATCTTTCAGATGAGACATTTAAGTCCCGTGTGCATTTATGGCCCATGTGCACATTAAAGAACGCAGTGCACACTTCGCAAAAGAGTAGGGGATAGTCTCCCAGTGTATTGCCCAATCACCACCAGAAGGACCCCACAGTCTTCTTCTAGACTTTCGTGGACTATCCTTGGTGTTTACGCCGAATAAATCCAATCCAAGTTACATCATAGATGATCAGAATACTCATGATATCAGACATGCTTTTTGCAAATATTTAAAATTTTGTTTAATTGTTAATACTATAAAAACAGCAAGCAGTGTACCGCTATTGGTTACACCTGGTGGTACCATGGCGTGTGCCCTGAACCATGACAATCCCTGGTTATACCAGCTCTCCCTGTGAATATATTACGGAGCTTTTGATTGAACGAAGAAGGTAGGGCCCAGAACGCAATGACGTCACTAAGAAGTCATCTGTGCATGCAAAACGTTGAGTTCTCATTGTTGCTTTGATTCCAGGACAGTTTGGTTTGAATATTCATACGTTGGATGGTTACGGATGAGTGAATCTGTTCTAGCTTTATGTAGCACAAATCAAAATCTCCCTATTATATAATGACACTATCCGACAAGGCATTAAGTTGTTGGTCTTGTGTAAGAAAAGAGTAAATATGTTTACTGCGGCTGCAATGAGTCCGTATGGCCCAAGCACAAATTTCCTAATTACTGTATTTATAGGATAAATTTGAGTTACTTTTAAACCATGATATTATGACAAATTGTTTATTTAATACTGTATAATTATTCTGTATTTATATTTAAAGCCCATAATGAAAACAAGCTGCTATTATTTGTATTTTTTTTATCCTTAAATGATATTCAGAATAATAAATTTTTTTTTTATTTTATAAAAAGTGGAATATGAATACAAAAGGTTATCTATTAGGTATTAGTATCTTAAACTGCAAAAAAATAGGACTTTTTAAATAATGCATATATTGATAAATCAGAAATTGTTACCGCGCCAATTCCAAAATTATTGAAGATGCCAAGTGAAATATATACATTATATATATTATATATGTACATATACATTATATATATATATATATATATATATATATATATATATGTTTCTCATTTTTTGTCTTTATATGTATGTATATGTATATATACACAGTATTAGTAATCACAGTCATTCTTTTAAGTAGACTTGGGCAGCCGGTGGATTAGTACACACTGAAGAAGCTGAAATCCCATTGGTCACTCACCCTGATAAACGTGTCATGTCTCGTCCAGCGAGAATAATTCTACCGACTGCCTGAGCCATACGTAACAACATTCTCCCTGCCTGATAATATTCCTAATTAATGAGAAAACATGATGTGATAACGTTGAAGATTTACTCTCTGTGGTGAAATCTAGAAAAACCTAAATGTCAAAACTGAACATTGAATTGCTTGTTTAAAGGGATAAAATATGTTAAGCTTCATGTTAAGCGTTGGCTAAATTTCTGATGCTACTCAATTGATTACTCAGTCAATTTAAGGGGCTATGCGAAGAGTATAAAAAATATGCTCCAATAGGTGCATAAGTATACTGCATAAACCAGGTCAAATTACTCTAAACATTGTCTATTATCTGAGAAGCTGCTATCAGCCATTGGCAGGCCTGGAAAAAAAAATGTCCATGAAAGTTCTCTCGATAAAATGCCACCAGCACCTAATGTTATCTGCCCAACAGTTATTTTTTTAAAATTTTGTTCCCTAAAATGCCTCTGGGACATTCATGTTGCCTCAGACCACCGGTCATGCACTCTTTCCAGCCATGGCTATTGGTCATCTGTCAAAACTTAGGTCCAATTACTAACTCTCTAATAAGTTGTATGTGTAGTTGGAACGTCAACTTAGATGAACCTTAACACATTCCATTTTACAGAGGAATTCCACCACCACAGCATAGAGTATATCTGTATTACATTTGCATATCTTTCTTGAAAAGGAAAATATTTACTTTTTTTTAATTGAATGTTACTAACTTACTTAGATCCACAACACAAGCAATTTAAATATACAGTTTTAACATTCAAGTTAATTAGACCAACACAAAGAGTATACCTTTAAGGAAGTTGTAGAAGTTTTGTGAGTATGTTAGTAATGGATAAAGCATGCAAACTGCCCCAAGTAATGATGATCAAATTTCCTACTGATGCTTACCCGCTTAGCCTCGTTAATTCACGGCCTGAGAGTACAACTCGGCCAATAGCTTCAGCCATGCGGACTAGCATGCGCCCAGCCCTATAATAGGCCTGGCAAACACAGAACAAACACACGCACACATGTTAAAAAAGAATAATGTACTACGCAATGTAGTGTTACTACACATGACAGGATTTGGCATGGCCTGGGACTTACCCGGCGAGCCTTATGCCTTCCCGACCGGCAAGTACTAATCGGCCAATTGACATGGCCATTCTCAAGAGCATGTAACCTGCCCTGTAGTACGTCTAAATAAAGTAACATATATCATTATTTCTTCCAAATAAAGAAATATTAAAACACCAATAACTTGATTATCCATAAATTTCAATAACTTTACGTAACAATAATTAGTCTTTGGACTTTATTTCATCATGCATGAAGACTGAAAACAACACAACAAACTCTGTCAAAAAAATCAAATATATTCGAGGGAGACATCTATTCGAGGGAGGTGTAAAATGGATACATATATACTCAAAATTAATTTCAAAGTTAATGTGGAATTACAACACATAATTACCATCAAAGTATGTTATTATGTGATCATAAATACTTAATTATCCCAACCAGGTTTATAGAAAATGTAATTCTACTGAAGCAGAACATCAATAGAATGTATTGAGAATGATGTTGCTTCCATTAGATTTGTTTAGTGTCTTTTAGGGGGCATTTATTCAAGGAATACCTCATCCCAATCATTTGAGGAAGGCATTTTTTCCAAATGAGGCTCTAAAGAGACATTTGAGCCATGTCGTGGCGAAATGGTTAAGTTGTCGCACAGGCCAGTATTGAGTAAATGAGCTATCAAATATGGGAGCTCAAAAAATTGCCTAAATTTTATTTCAATATAGATCAAAAGTTTAATGTCCTAAAGTATTAGTTCTGGAAGTGGTCAACAAATCGTTTATTTAACGTTATGTTGATAGTTAATTCTATTAAACAATGTACTCACAAATAACTAAGAGTGCCATACTTTCACTTTACAATAACTAATGCTTGAAATGTCCAATTTCAATGAATAACCTCTCATTTTAAAGATCACTTACTCAGGTATCTGTAAATACCATTAAAATGGAATTTCAATTTTAGCTAAAACTTAGCCATTTTGCCACAACATGCCTTATTTATTCAAGGAGGGCGTTTACTCAAAGAGGGGTATTTTTTCAAATAAATGAGGTAAGCAGTACCAGTAAACATAAGTAAACTACTATCTCTTTGGGATTTACCACAATCTAAATTACTAAATTAGCAAGTTTCTGCCACCCATAATTTATGTTTCATGCATAGATAACAAAATCATATTACAAGCAGAATTTACTACAGTACTACTATTTGAAGCTGAATTATTCTATGCATCCCATGGCAAATGTAATATCATTGGTAACAAGTATTGATCATGATTATTACAATCAACAATTCATATGATTATATATAATAAGTATTATGTTATCCTTTGAAATATTGTCATTAACCATCAATCTAATTTCTTCACTATTATCACTACCACCATCAGCCATCACCATCATCACAGTCATCTTACAATCATCATCATCACCATCACAATGAAATATTATTTATTTTGATGTTGCTTGCATCAGAAAATTTCATAGGAGTGATATATTGCCCTACTTAACATTATTGTACTGAATACTCAGTATGTTCTCAATACTTGTGAAAACAATCTTGCAACTGATTCCGGTGGGAATCAAACCAAGAACTTCCAAATAACTAGCTTGGTGTCATAACCATTAGACCATTATGATTAGTGGCTAGTGTACCCAAGTAGCAGCGGGTACTGCAATGCTATTACCAGGTAGGCCAAACCATCACTCCTATTATAAATATTATTCTAATAGACAAGCTATAGATTATCTATAATGTTTATGACTATTTCTATGTATGTAGTGGTATGAAACACACCACTTGGATCAAGACAGTGTGTTGGTGTATACAAACCAGGGTATCGTGAAACTTACCTCCATTATTTCTGAGTGGTTGAGATGTAAGAAGGGCTCATGTTGAAGGTTTAAGAATGGTCTACTCACAACGCAATAGCCAACAACAGTAGCAATATCTTAAAAATAAAACAGTATACATATATATAGACAGTAAGTATATCATTATTATTGCTATTGGCATGGTAAACACTTTTGACTTTTGCCACCAGGATCATCCATGTCATCACCATTCAGAAAGAGAAATCAATTAATTTTTTTTACCATGGACAGATAAAGAGTACTTTAAAATAAGTCTTCATTTATACTTACATTTTGCAATAATGTTGTCAATAAAGCCCATTGAAAAACGGAAGAAAATAAAATGATGTAAATGGTCAACCTATAAAGAAAATTATCAGCATCATTACTAGTATAATAGTATTTTAAAATAACATTTTGTACAACCTAATTATGATTACTAAGTAAGAAAAAATAAGAACATTTTTGTCAAGTGGTATGAAATTGTTTAAAACAACATTACAGTGGTTTTGATGTTGGTAATTTTTTAAACAAACTATCCTTCATATATTTAACATCTTACCAATTTCTTGAATGTGTGGTAAATGGTCCTTCTTTCACACTTGTTACCCTGATAAAAGGCAATTTCTTCGCTGTTTGTAATCAAGCGAGAGTTAACGAAGCGGAACTCTCCTTCATATTGCTGCTCTTGTACTGTCATTTTACCTACAGGTCGACGCAGTCTACAAGTAAAACAACACCAGCACAATTCAGTTGCTTAGTCTACAATGGTTGATTTTTAATAATAAAATTACATTAAAGAACTTATAGGCTTGTACAAATTTATAAAATATACATAAAATATAAAAAATTTAAGATAGATGGCAAAAAACTGGAACCAGGTGTTGGGGCCAGATTGGGCAATGCTTTGAGGGGATAGCCACTCCTCCTCACAGCGAGACTGTTTACCTTCCAAGCATATGCCGGTACCCATTTACACTCCAGGTACAGAGAGACAAACGCAGATAAAGTGTTTTGGCCAAGGACACAAGTGACTTGCACAGTGAACGTTTCGAACCCCTAACCACAAGGTTGAGAGTCCGAGCTTCAACCAGTGCGCCAAACTCTTCCACAAGTAAATATAAGTAATCATTAAGAATCATCACACTTGTAATTTGCCAGGATAATTACTTGTATTGACAAAATGAAATGAAAATCAAAGCAAATATTATACAGTAGGGAAATTGTCTAGGCAAATATATAGACAAATGATATGTCCTGGAGTGTACACTAGTGAAGCATATTGCTAAGATAACCTGTCCCAGATAAAGGTTTACCTACCTGGTAAGAACTAAACCTGACACTGCCAAGTAGAGCAACATGAACGCTGGTCCTTGAGCCCCAATTGATGATGTCAACACACGAGTGTATATTAAGATATCAAGTAAAGGCTGCATAAACAAGATAAGAACAATCATAAGAAATCGAAGAATACAATATAGCATCAATAATGAAAGAAGCAGCACTGTTGTATGAATTCAATGAGTTTGTGTGGATATTTTTTTCATCTATGTTAATGTATCAATGTACTGTCGGTCCACTGCTGGACGAAAGCCTCATTATGCTGACCCCAAATCAGTCTAAATATGTATGTATTATTTCACATGAAAAAAAAGGTTCATGTATTGATATATGTAAATAATTATAACCTTGAACATTGAAATAAAGCATTTGTTGTCTAGTCTATGTTATCTAACAAGAAAATAAGTTTACCATATGAGGATATTTGTAAATAAATATAACTTTGAACATTGAAAAAAGAAAGGCTCCCAGCAGGATAGTGTCTACTGCTTTACATGGTCTTTTTTGTGCTACTGTAATGACTTTTTAGTGAACTTTCTAGGACAGGTCCTTCTAGCTTTCTGCGTTGTCAATTCAATTGATAACTTACTGCAGGACAGGTATTATCTAGTATGGCATCATATTTTGGTAGACGTGCTTTTCATTTTTATCTTTAGCTCATGACTCACCCCATCATTTCTCCATAAAGGATTTACTCGCTCTGGGTTAACTGCCAGAAGGGGCAGTAGACACAAAAACATGTGTTGTTGATCCTTACCTTGCTTAAGTTGGAATATAAGTCAGCTACGCTATTGCAGAACTTCTCTACATCTTGTGTTAAGAGCTGATCAGCATTAGCAATACGATTGTCAAGGTTACTCATCTTGTAGTATGTAAAGCCACTATAAAGTGAGTAAAAGTATTATCAAGTACTACATTGCACAATGATTAATAATCATGTTTAACATAAAAAGATTTCAAACATATAAGCCGGGAACTCACTGTTCATGTGAAAGTAACTCCGTTCCATGTGAGTGTTAGACGATGCAAAGTCTACTGGTTGTCAGTGCCAGTATCAACGAATCGTCAATAAAAAGGATCTGTTGCACGTGCATCGTGGCGCTACGTTTCTCCATAGAATATCATCAGCCAATGACCGCCGTGCACAGTAAGTGCCCAGCTTAAATATAGTATTTTTTGTTGTATTTTTCCATTTTTCAGTTTAAAATGATTTATTGTACTGTTCTTGATTGGAGGCAGTTCGACTTACCTTAGGTATTGATCATATAAAAATGACGTTAGCCGTGTCCTGAATAATAACTTGACTTCATTCAAACCATACTAAAGAGAACAAAGTAACTTTAAAAAAATGATTTGGGAAATGTGGTCATGTTGCTTTAAACTAGAGCAGTGGTTCCCAACTTTCTTTGGGATTCACAGACGGGTCGGGACATTTTTAAAGTCTACAAAGACCCACAGGTGTAAGCTTACTAACTTTCCATACCCAACCAATAGGATGATTAGTAGATAGAAGATGATTCACACAACACATCAAAGCTAAGGGGTCCGTGGAGGTAGGGAATCACTGTTCTAGAGTATAGTCATTTTGACACTAAACATTAAAGTTTTTAATTAAGGGCAACATAGCCCATTGGTTAAAGCTGTAATCAACCACTGTGTGGGTGCTGCACAATGCAGATTAATCCAACAAGCTACATTTTCTGTAAAATATATATAATAATGTATTATATAATTATTATATATTATTACCCCTCAACTGATCATGGAGACCCCCTACTTCACCTTGCGCCTCCCGCCCCAGCACCCCCATTTCAAGACTTCTAGATACGTCACTGGGTATTGGTGCTGTATACAAATTAAAGAATGCAGTAACCTTCTGAGAACCAGGAGTGCTGGACTGCATAATCCCAAGCCAAAATATCTGGTAACTCAATTAAGTTACCTTGCTTAACTCGAATTAAATAAAAGCAAATGTAAAATCAAAATGATCTAATTAATCATGCTAGCTAAATGAATAGTTGCAAAACAAAACATTTTAAGTGTACAGTACTTACTTTCAGCAAGTTATTTATCAAGGATATCTGAAAACAAAATAATTATCATTAACAGTATCATAATATGTCTAGGATATCTTGAGATAATACACTGAAGTGGATTATTTAAGGCAGATATTAAAAACTGCTTTGAAAAAAATGTATTTTAATGTTGGCTACTGCACTTATAAAAATATTTATATGTATGAGAAAAAGATCATTTAGTGACACTTACAGCTGGCATTGCACAAATGAAATTAAACAGATATTTCTTGAACAATGTAACATCACGCCCAATTATAGAACTGAAAGACAAAATACCAGTAGCCACATTACATTTCCTATTATATTGTCCTCCCATTAAGCCTCATTCTCTTAAAACCCTATTTCAATAAAGTACAGAATCATGGTATTTATTTTATATTTGTAAATTTGTAAACCATGACCACTCATTTAAATCTTCAATCCTGTATAATCTTAAGACAATTCTAAAAAAAAAAGCACCTACCAGTAAAAAGCGAAGTTTAACCAAGCATAATACTTGTACAAAGCACTTATCTCTAAAGTTTAAAACTGCTGAAATACGACCTACCATCAAATAAATATTATTACTAATTTACTTTGCAAGATATTCTACCACTATGATTGTAGTTATATTAAGGGTAGGCAAATAGGCACTAGGGCCAAGGATATGCCAAACAGTGAACTAAATCACTCTTCAAAGTGGCAATCCCAACACAAGACAACAGGGGTTCTATGGACCAGTACACCAGTGTAAATCCCTACTCATCTTAAAAGATGTATTGGGTTCTTTAAAGTGCACATGAGACAATTTTGTACACTGGGCCTACAGTTTATAGTCCTTATTCAAGAAGACTTGTTCCACCTCCAGGACCATACTGTACTACAGTGTTACGTCACGATACCATGTAATACTACTCCGTTGCTATGCGTTCAACCAGACGCCATTTTCTCCACTGACAAACCATTGATCCCAATTTCTAACGTAATTATTAAGATGATGCATCTTAGTTTTTCTTTGTAAATTTTTATTGATGATTAAATGTGTGTTCGATAACTAATATAATGCTAACTTTTGTGTTTTTAGTACATTTTGATGGTAAAATATTAGATTTTAAAATGCCTATTCCAGAAAGCCTATAAAGTCATTCAGGCGTAATGAACAGTAATCAATGTCTGGTTGGCAACAAAGGGCGCCACCTGGCGTTGTGACAACAATTGTGGTACTCTATACTCCATTTGAATAATAATAATAATAATAATAATAATTATAATATTTTCCTTACAAGAACAACTAAGTTGATTGGTCAAAATATTATTTTCATCCTGAATTTACCTTTCAATGGCTGTTCCATTTTGTATCATCCATACATCACAGTAAGTTCTTGCTGCTAACGAAGCTGCTACCAGTAGAAGATATAATGTCTACATTAAGAAAATAAACATAAAATTACAATTAGGGTATTGCATAAATGGCTGATAAAGATATCTTTGAAAAAACCCATCTTGTTCCTATAATTTAGTGTAGTTAAATTAATCAAAAATGTTAACTATGGTATACTGCATATTCTTTTAAATATTCCCACCCAAAAAAATTCAAAAATTAGAATAAATAAACTTATCAAAGTTACATTATAGACATTTTATTATGAAATCATTTAATATATGGTGCCAATGTAATTGCAAGAATTGCTTTATCTTTTTTTAAGTCTCAGTTAAAAATTAATTACTCATCAAAAATTTAAAATTATGCAAAAAGTTTATATTAAATTAAATGAGCAATATATATGACTGTAAATTTCCTTGAAATGATATTGTGAAAGCTGCTATGAAAATTAACAATATCTTTACCAGGCATTAAGCCATTTACAACTTTTTTTATTAACTTGAGTGAATACTGTATATTTTTAATACATACCTCCTTACAATTGATTCTTGGTACCAGTATCCGAAGTATAGAAAACAAACGTCTGATAGAGGAGAATAAGAATTTGAATTACTGGACTAGGACTCAGTATGTATTAATTGGGTAATGTTTTATACACATATCATTATCATCCATTAACATGAGATATGGGACAAGGAGCTAGAATACAAGGTATGAAAGAAGTGTGGCAATAATTTCAGAATTGTTTTTACAATAAAATTGGGAATTTCTATACTCAAAACAAGGGACAGGGGATTAAATTGATAATATAGTATACACACTATGATTCAGTGATAATACAATATGAGGTAAAAAACTATTCAGTATATCTTTCTGTTAATTTATTGCAGTTTTACAGTACAACGGCTGGGCTGGGCTTGGTCTGGTCAGGCCCGTCTAGGCTAGGCTAGGTAGGCCGAGCAGATTGTCTCGAGGGGCCCAAGGGTTGGGGGTGCAGTTATTCTGCTAATTTTAATTCTTACCTGAAGAAAACAGAATCTACTGCTGCTTTTTCTTTTGATTGTGCCTTAGATTTTCCACCCTTTAAATAACAAAAACAATCCATGAACATTACTGTATACATTTAATTCATTATTTCTCTACTATACATCACATCTTGTTGTGTTGCATATTTTTCATAGGATTAGCATTATTTTGCTTTTTTGGTGTGTTATCTATAGTATGTGAGTCGCTAAAAATAAATAATTGCTATACCTGAAACTCCACAGGAATTTCTGATTTACTGAAAAGAAAAAAAAAGTTGACATAAATATCCCAAGATGATTACAGTTTAATCAACTCTTATCCTTGCACCGTCTGTTGATCACTGTGCACATACTCCTACCAAATAAATTACCGGTAGCGGGTCAAAACGGCAATAAACTAAAACGGCATTTAAAACGGCAAAAAACAAAATGGCAATAAACCAAAACGGCAATGGTAAGTACCAAAACGGCAACAGACCAAAACGGCAATAGGCAAACCAGGTCAGCAAATGAACAAAATCAGTGCCAAACCCAAGAGCAAACACCGACGGGCACGGGCAGCAGTTTATAATTTTCTGAATTGTCTTGAAATTGGCCCATCGTCTGTAGGCAAATCGAATATTTCCATATTCTCCCTTTTAATGTTTAATCGCATTTTTAAAAATATTTTTTACACATCCATGACGAATTGTTTAGATACCTAATTTTACTGTATGTTTTATTTATTTGAATTTTTACTGCTTTTATATATTTGTGTTTCCCCCAATGCTTTTTTTATTGAATTTTTATGTTGTTATAAAGCCTATTACTATTATTGTTTTTTCGCATTTTTTACTTTTATGACATAAACTGTTTTAGCCTCATTTTGTCTGTATTTCAAAGCTTTATTTATTTGAATCATTTATTTTGAATTATTGAATTATTCAACTTGTATGTTGGTATATTGTTATTATTATTGTTGCTTTTTTTTCCCGCATTTTGTACTTCTATGACATAAATGGTTTTAGCCTCATTTTGCTGTGTTTTAATGTTTTTTATATACTGTATAGTAAATTTTTATCGTATTTAATTGTTGTACTTTTTCATGTTTAAAATAGACCGAATCGGTGAATCCAGCTATTACTGGTCATGTGACATATAGTGGGTACTAAATGTAAACATCAACATCGTAAACCACAGTGCACTCATTGAACACAGTATATTGAGAGAGTTATGATTTTTAGACAGCGACCTAAAGTAACTACAAACATCCTATGATTTAATTTTGGATTTAAAATAACTGTAAAATAATACTCTTGCAACGAATGCGGGGATTCGTTTTTTTTTTTCATGCTGTGATAGCATTTGACATGAATAATATTCTTGACTTAGGCCTAAAATATACCTCAGCCGGCGACGCCTCAATGGAGGTACCATACCTTTCCTTAAAAAACCTCCAGGCTTTATCCCACTATCCATTGGAGCCTTACCAAACCAAACTGATAAGTGTTCGAAAATTTAATTTTGACACTTCTGAGTGATTTACCAAATTATAATTCGCATTCCAACCAACATTTGCAACATCTGTGATGTGACTTGCATCAACATCAAGGCGAAGCCATATTCAATGCACTGTCATCTCGCGATCTCAATAGATGTAAACAAACCCTAATACCCACTATATGTCACATGACCCGAGCCACCGATTCGTTCTATTGGTCTTACGTAGGACCACATTGGAAATAAGTTTTACTTCCATTTTATTTTATTGCTTTTTTGGCTTATTGCAATTTTGACTTATCTCCGTTTTGTTCCATTGCCATTCTGGTAAAAAAGTGTTGCTGTTTTGGTTTGGTATTTGTTATACTAGGCCTAGACTAGGTCATTTGCTTTCTAGTCAAAACGGCAATGACCAATAAGAAATTCACTGTCAAGAAATTATGGCCAATTAGGTAGTTTAAAAAAAATGTGTTTGATTATGGATCATTAAATAATAATATATCATTTCAAATTGAGAGACATGCACGTGAATGTATTTTTTGCGAAATGGAAATTTATTACACGGCGCACACCAGGTAATATCGCAGACAATTGCAAAATTGAAAAAAAAGTGTAGGATAGCCTAGCTTTGCTAGAGGCCGTAGGCCTAGCTAGGCCCTAGTCTATAGTCTATATAGTAGGCTAGAGGTAGGCCTAGGCCTAGGCCTAGAAGTAAAATAAAATTACGTACTTTCAAAATGTGGCCGTAGTAAGGCTAGGCTGGACTAGGCTCACGGCAAATACTTGAGTACTCAGAATCTCATCTCAGAAGGCCTAGGTAGGCCTACCCTAGGCCCTAGGATAGCTAGGGCCTACCCTACCTAGCCGGCCCACCACCGAATACCCCACCACCTAGGCCTAGCCTAGGTTAGGCCATTGACTAGGCCCTAAGGCCTAGCCCTAGGCCTACCAAGCCTAGAGACTAATTATGATATCAGTTATTTTTTTATGCATAAAAATATTCGTACCTTCCAACTTTTTGTAGTTTTCCTTTTTCTCTGGAATTCATTCTTCTTGAAAGGTAGTATATGCTAAATGCGCTCGATATCGCTACTGCTGAAGTTGGACTATACAGAAATTTACTCATTGACGGAGCCATCTTGATGCCGGTTGTTAAAGTCTCCGCTCGATCTGACGGCAACGACACAAAACTATCAACTGGCTTCGCTGGATCTCTGACCTCGACCTCAAAAAAACGAGGAGTGGTGGTGTTGGTGCGTAGACAATAGAGGGCGGCAACCTGATATGTTTCGCGCTCTCTGATGAGCACTGATCTGGTACGGTGATGATATCAGTCATAACATGGAGGTATTCTCAATATTAGTACTCCCTCCATGGATCAGTGGGTTTGGCAATCAGAAACTAAAACAGTTTTTGAGAAGATGTTAGCGACACAATCAGAAAACATGTTTGCTGTATAATATTTAATTTATTGTGAAATAAAGTGATCAATGGACAATTTGACAATTATTGCAGAAAATGAGACTCACTGGCCCTGTCCGAATAATGTAGCATACAACCAATAGCAGCCTGCAGAATTCTTTATGCCTTGTAATATACCAATCATTTTCTTAATCTGTTTTACTTCAGTACATTATTGGCATAGACATCTTCATTTAACTCATAATCCAATTGTCAACATTGTTCTTCTGAAACATGTTTTCAAACTAAATTAACGTTCAATATTTAATAGGTCTACATGATGTACATCATAGGACATAGGAGAGAATGGCAAATAGGCCTACCTGAAAAGAAGTTACACCCACCTCAGACTTACCATGGTTGAAATACATGACAACAACACTATGCCCCAGGGGTATATCCAGGATTTTTTTCTGGGTGGATCTTGATCATAATTTTTGGACCTTTTCAGTGGGAGACAGGAAAATCGTTTACAGCGCCACCAGCTTGAAGCGGATGGCAGGCTCCGTTTCAGAATGGCTGGAATTGAGATAGAATACGGTACGTCACGCAATTGTCTAAGTCTTTGGACTCATTGCTGGTACTTTATCAATGCTTTTTCATTTATATCATTGTGGAAAGGCCCTAGAAACAATGTCTTTGGAAAAATTGTGGAACTTTGATTTTTTTGGGGGGGGGGGGGAAGGGTCGTACGACCTTCCCGACCCCCCACCCTTGCATACACCCATGTGCCCAGAAATTGTATTCACAGACATACATTATCATTGTAAACTGTCTTAATTTGACAATATGCGTTCAATTTTTAGTAATCAAATAATTATTTGTTCACTAAGGAGGGCCGGGTGAACCAGGCGTGTCAACACCAACCTCAGCTCCACAGGTTGAGGGTGAGGCAAAAAATATAAAGGATGGAGCAGCTTTAAATGCTGGAAATATTCTCAGATATTGAGGCTTGGCTTAAGTGCAGTTGCTGGCCTGATACTAGCACCTTTCGACTTGTAATAGATCAAATATTTATTTTGCGAAATTGTGAAAAAATCAAAGGGGCAAAATACCAAGATTTCTGTAAACTGCCCAAACCCAAACGGTTTCCAAATGGTCTTATAGTGAAGTATGTTAATACACAATTTTTTTTTTTAAATTATGAAATTTTTTTAATGAAATTCTTAAATTTAAGGCGTTTCTTTTAAGGTCTATTGGGAATGTACTGGCACGATTCCGAGATTATCCCAATGAGGATTGGAACATGGCTATCATATACAGCACTATTCATGAAATAAATTAAAACATCCCAGGAATCATACATAATAACTCCTTCAAGTATAAACTCTCCTCGGAAAACATTCAGGTTTTTTCATAGTCTAGCTTTGGGGCCAGGATATTGATGAATATGAATTCTGTATCTAGTAGAGGTTGTATTAGGCATAGGGCCTATGTAAAAAGGAATAGGTAGGCCTATTTGTTGTTTATTCGTTTTTTTCCACTTTCAATTATCACTTTAATTTTTACATCATGTTCTTTACAGTGGTGGCGCCAGGATCTGCCCGACGGAGGGCTAAAGGCCCCGACGGGGGAGGGGAGCTAGTAGAGCGAATCGAGTCTCACTTGACTCAAGGTAAGGGGGCCGCCTAGGGGCCCCGGTGGGGTCTAGGGGGCGAGCCCCCTGGAAGCCACGGATATTTGATGAATTATGGCGAATTTTTATTACTTTTTTGATAGGCATCGAGTTACTATAATATGACTTTGGTATCATGACGCTGTCTCTTATACACATCTAGATGTGTATAAGAGACAGGATATTGAGGCTTGGCTGGGAGTGCAGTTGCTGGCCTGATACTAGCACCTTTCGACTTGTAATAGATCAAATATTTATTTTGCGAAATTGTGAAAAAATCAAAGGGGCAAAATACCAAGATTTCTGTAAACTGCACTCCCAAACGGTTTCCAAATGGTCTTATAGTGAAGTATGTTAATACACAATTTTTTTTTTTAAATTATGAAATTTTTTTAATGAAATTCTTAAATTTAAGGCGTTTCTTTTAAGGTCTATTGGGAATGTACTGGCACGATTCCGAGATTATCCCAATGAGGATTGGAACATGGCTATCATATACAGCACTATTCATGAAATAAATTAAAACATCCCAGGAATCATACATAATAACTCCTTCAAGTATAAACTCTCCTCGGAAAACATTCAGGTTTTTTCATAGTCTAGCTTTGGGGCCAGGATATTGATGAATATGAATTCTGTATCTAGTAGAGGTTGTATTAGGCATAGGGCCTATGTAAAAAGGAATAGGTAGGCCTATTTGTTGTTTATTCGTTTTTTTTCCACTTTCAATTATCACTTTAATTTTTACATCATGTTCTTTACAGTGGTGGCGCCAGGATCTGCCCGACGGAGGGCTAAAGGCCCCGACGGGGGAGGGGAGCTAGTAGAGCGAATCGAGTCTCACTTGACTCAAGGTAAGGGGGCCGCCTAGGGGCCCCGGTGGGGGTCTAGGGGGCGAGCCCCCTGGAAGCCACGGATATTTGATGAATTATGGCGAATTTTTATTACTTTTTTGATAGGCATCGAGTTACTATAATATGACTTCATGTAGGCTATGCTTTCTAATGTTGAAATCAGCTTCCAAAACCAAAACATTTTAAATAAAGCAAGAAACAAAGAGTATGTAATGTAACCATCTAATTTATTTTCAAATCCTCATTCTTAAAAGTGAAATTCTATATTTTAGAAATTTTGCATGAAATCTGTCAACCACGCTGTCATGGTCGAGGTTGCTTCACCTATCACGATGTATTCCAACCATGATGAGGCTATCCAAATGAGCATTTGTCATAACAGAACGCAATTTTTTTAAAAATTAGTCTCATTGAATTATTATTAGGCCTATTATTATTATTATTATTGTTATTGTTATTGTTGTTGTTGTTGTGATGAAATGTTAACACAAACAACATGGTGGCTAAACGAATATTACATGTAAATATTTTTTTTATTTTGTTCCCCGACAAAATTTATCGTCTTCCCCGACGCCACCACTGGTTCTTTATCTGTTAAATACCTCGTTTACCTATTTTACCTCATGTTTTTTTCTGTTTTACTTCAGTACAATGTAAATCATCGATTTATCTCAATCATACACTGAGATTAAATACAAAAATGATTTATTTTGAATATTCTTCCCATGTAAATTTGTAATAGGTACGCCAATACGATTGTATCCTGTGTATTGTTGCAGGATAAAAGCTTTTAGTTAGATGGGGCAATGAGAATGTTGTTTACCTTGACCCAGTCTCAGCCTAAATAGAATTTCTGATCTTCACTCATTTTCGTGAATTTCCCTCCGAGTCCTTCGGTTTCCTGCACCAAACAGATTTATCTTTCGTTTGCATCTTCATTGGGTCAGCGAGTTGTAATATTATATAATATTTTTAATTATTTTTTTTACCTGATTACTATTATTAATATAACTTCCTTGATATTTGAGTTTTGCCGTTATAAATAAAGGGTATTAAATATAATGAATTATAATAAATATAATTAATATTATACTATAATATTAATTAAAATATTTAAAAAAGATAAAGGTTTTTATGAAAGAAAAAGTAAAAAACAAAACAAAGCAATATTGTTTGGTATTTAGTTTTGTAAAATAATGAGTTCTTTCAAGAAACTTCTATATTTTGCATCCTCATACACATGGAATTATGGATTAACGTGTGTATAGAGTACCACTGGTACCGCAGTCGTGTCGTCACGACACCATGTGGCGCCCTCTGTTGCCAACCAGACGTAGGTAATCGTTCATTACGCCTGAATGTGCATAGGCTTTATGAAATAGGCATTTTAAAATCTAATATTTTACCATCAAAATGTACTAAAAACACAAAAGCTCGCATTATATTAGTTATCCAACACACATTTAATCATCAATTAGAATTTACAAAGAAAAAGTAAGATAAAACATAATAATTACGTTAGAAATTGGGATCAATGGTTTGTTAATGGCGAAAATCGTCGGGTTGAACTCATTTTGCAACGATAGCAACAGAGTAGTATCACGTGGTATCATGACGTAACACTGTAGTACTCTATAGCCAATCCTCTATGCTCGTACCTCATCTTTCTTTTACTATTTTGTTAAACTCCCTTATTTTTCTGTTTACCTTTGTGTTTCCTTTTTTACTTTTGTTCAACTTTACTGTATTGTTTTTTGATTAGTTAGTCTGGACGCACCACTGAATAGTGTGTGCCACTGTTGTAAAAGTGTGTGCCAATAAAAACTGAACTGAAACTGATGTCATAGTTGCTTAATACATACTAACTACTGTACAGACCAACAACACCCAGAGGTGACGGAACTAGTGGGTGCTGTTATGGAGAGTAACGTGTGACCGGAAATGGTCTGCAGTCAGTTGGTTGTTACCATGCGCCAGTGATGTTGGAGTATATAGCACAGCAATATGAAACTATATACGTAGGCCTAATGAATAAATAAAGTTCGGAGTTTGTCGGGTAGTGAAATGATTATTTCACATTTTAAGTGCTCCCTAATTCATAAGTGTAAGCTAAATTACGGTTATTAATTTAATTAGCGAAGATATGGAGACAATTATTTCGAATCCCTCTTTCCAAGAGGGGATGCAAATGCTTTGTGAAAATGAGTACGCCGCGGTACTCATTTTCACAAAGAAATACACACAACTGGTTAGCTAACAATTATGTCAATGTTACATGAACACCTGGGAAGGAAGGTGCAATCACGTTGTTACCTAGCAAACGTCTGTACTGTATGGGGGAGGGATGTACTGTGTAGCGGGGGACGATGAAATGAGGCATAAGACTAGGCCTAGGCTTAACTAAGACAGTGGAATTATATGTGACAGAAAGTACACTTTCGGAAGAAATAAATTAAAATAAGAAAAAAAAAACAAACTAAGAATAATTCATTTGCAGAGGTACCTTATTTAAGTATTATACAATGCTAACAATGCGGCTCTTGTAGCCCTGGCTTGGGCAAGGCATCCATGTGCAAAGCAGTGGTGTTTGTTTATCCATGAAAAAAGCACGCCGGGAAAGTTTGCCTTACCAGGAAAAGGAGACGTATCTAGCTTATGACGTATGCATGCTAACTGACGTGAGTGTGACGTCACCAAAAAATGAATATTTTCTATTATAACCAAAATATTAATAACTACACGGTTTCTGGGCGTAAATTTCCTTAATATGAATGAAGGGTTGGTCAATCTCCTTGCCATACAAATTACAGCTCCCACTGACGTCTGTCGAGAAATACGGGTAGCTGAAGTTTTTCTCGCAAATCTGACTACAAAACCATATCCAAATTTCACGTTCCACTTTTGACACCGGGCGGCGTTCCGGGAACCCTGCGTCTAGTATATATACATTAAAATAACAAAACAAACCTGTATATAAAATTGTTTATTAATCCAGACTAAAACAACATTACGTAAGGTTTATGTGACCTGCCTGTGTCCTTTTAGAGCATCCCATGGCTTCTGAATCAAGTGTGGTTTGCTGTGCATTTGGTGTGCAGTTGATAGCACTTAAATAAAACTATTTACCATCAGAAAGAACATCAAATTCAGTAGTTTTGGGGATTATTTTAATTCCTTTGTATAATAGCGTCGTCAGAATTAGGCCCTAAACGATTGAGAGCTGAATCTTGTTTTGACTGACAGAGCTCAAAAGCCATATTCTTCTCTGTCATCGGACTTTAACAATTCTTTCAAGTTTATTTTTTCCCAAAGAAAAATTAGTCTTCATCCATTCTTTACCATTTAATATGTGGCCTGGTGAATTTTATTAATTAGGCATATTTGATGCCTCCGTATAATAACTAATTGTTCATTATATTTTCAGTTTAGCATATCCGGTGAACGAACAATAGTGCTTCTTTCGAATCTATCCCATTTTGTACTTCTTTTCCAACTAGTTTCCATTTGTAGTTGTCCTCGAGTCTTTGCATTTCTTTTTCAAATTTTCCGTCGTTTAAACTAGGATCCAATTTTAGCCATTGTTTCCTGAATGAGTTGAAGATATAGCCACCTAGGAAAATGATAACACGGCATTTATTAGGATTAGTTGTGGATACCTTGTGCAACGAGGATTTTTTGCCATTTTGGCGCACCACTGAATAAACTGAACTTTTTGTATTTTGGATAGATTCAGATGACGGAAGCACTTTGCAGCACTAATAAAGTAAACATTAAAATTGACATAAAATATATTGTCCATATTTTTGGTTAAATGCTTGACTACTTAAAGCTGCTGTATACCCCCACCCCCCACAAAAAAAAATCAAAATACACTATTACCAGGTTTTGTGATTCTTATCCATTCAGAAAAGACACTTTGATTCAGCAGGTTAGGGCCAAATCCAGCGGAGCAAATCAACACATCATACGTATCTCCAAATAAACAAAATAATCCATGTTATTAATCGATCAATAGATGTACATTCATCATCATACTGTAATTACTTATTCTACTACTTACTTAAAAAAAAAATAATGCTAACATTAGGCCTATAACAATAATAATTGAAAAGTTTAACAACCAAAACAACTGAGATTGCAATGATATTTAATTAACAGTGTATAGAAATCTAGTAGAATTACGACATTTTCGACTAGGTGGCCTACAGTACGGTACATATTTGTAGTATGGTATTTCCTTGACCCCACTTAGGTAAAGAAATAAAATAGAAAGAAAACGCGGTAACAGGAAAAAAAAATATTTGAAAAAAAATTAATTTAGCTAGCTTCGGTATACCCATACAAAAACAAGATTCAGTAAATCTAGATATGCAAATTAAGATAGCAACAGGAATAACAGGGACCTAAATGCAAACGAACAAAAATGTTGGGATTACTGTCATTTATTGCCAACTGTCTTTGTCCGGCCGTTTCTTCCATCAGATTCTGATACACATGTTTTTCTTTTGCTTTTTCTAAGCACTTGTTACTGCAATCCAAAGCATCGATGTTGTTGAACCCAGCTTGCTTTACCTATTTTCACAAAAAAATAAGAAGTTATTATTAGTAGTAGTAGTAGGAAATGACCTAAAACATTTTTCTTTTTTTCTTCACTTTTTATCTAACTTTTTAAAATAGACGGAGGAGGCAGGTGTGGGGGACGGGGGAGGGGAGTGGCGGAAGTTGCTTCATTGAATCCGCCATTACACACCTTATTGCAACATCCGCCAAGCACATAAACAGATCGCAAAAATATACACATTTTCAGTTGCTAAAACATTTATTCAGTTTACTAACCATTTGTCCGACTATTCCAGTACCTGCGGCAAAATCTAAAATTTTCACGGATTTATCGGTAACCATCTTCTGAAGTGCTTCCACCAAGAATGCCCTTCCGTAATGCTGATTCTCTGGCGCCATTACGTCCTGGAAAAAAAAAGACATACTGTGGCGGCCTACTTTTCAAACTATTTAATATTTACATATAGTACAGGCACCGTAAGGCCGGGTGCTGGGCTGTCCGACAGAGTGACAATTTCCGCTGAGGAGCGGATAATTCCAACTGGTTACTGTATTTGATTTAATATCCTCCATTCATGTCGCTGCTATTAAGTTAGAGGGCGCTTTGCTTTATGCAACCATGCATTAATCATGATTACTCACACTTTATAGGCTCTTTGTTTCTACTAGGCTTACGCGGTCAGACGGAAAAATTACTGTATGTACAGTACGAACAATAATACTATAGCGATATAATATTCATTCCAAGGTCACATTCATGCTCTGATATAGGCCTAGTCTTTTGCTACAGATGGATTCCATTCACTGAATTTTACCTACAGTGTACCGTAGGTGGCCTTCCTTCTAATTAATAATAAATGCTCATTCATGCTCGTAACATCGAATGTTGTAGTGACGTTTAAGGTACAAGTGCCTTTTAGGCCTATAGCAAGGTATGCAGATCATTGAAAGACAAAAACGCCCAAAAGGTAGGCCTAACCAATGCCATACACCATCAATTGGTGGTACAATGTAGCCTAAATGATATACCGTACCTGGTCATAGGTTTCTGCCCATTTATCATAAACGGCTTTCGCTCCTTCAGCATTTCCAGCTTTACTCATAGCGTCTATGAAAAAAGTATAACGTTCACGAACTGCCTGTCCCTCTGACATCTTGAATGTTCTTCAACTGGACCACGAATCTACTGTATAATAATGACTAATAGAAGTACAGATAGGGTGGGGTTAAATAGCTTGGTGGTAAGCATCGTGTGTGTACACCTTGTCACCTACAAGGACAGACTTTGATAATCCTTGTTGTATGTGTTGTGTTCCGGCCAGTTAGTGCCAAATTAAATGAATAAAATAAAATATAGAGAAATAAGATAACCATCAGAAAGACTGCACAATAACGTATAGAAAACCTAAATTTCTTTTACCTCGATACTCTCCGTAACTCTTTATTTAAAGACCGCATTAAGTATACTCCCATTGTTATGTTATAATTGAGTTGTTTGAACGCTTCACTGGAGTGAGGTGGCTTATAATATCGTCACTGTAATGAACCATCCTTTGTAGTAATAAAATCTCGACCATTTTTTAAACAAAAAATTAGAAATGCCTACCTGCTTTTGGTTCACTGTTGTTTAAAGGAAACTTGTGTTGCTTGAAAGCAACTTCACTTTTAAAAAGCATGAAATATAACTTGAACTTCAACGTGTAGCTGATGGCACCATTAATTATTTAATTGCGCATTGCAATATAAA